CGATCGATATCACACGCAGAAGCAACGAGACAGCTGAAGAATATCGATATCGATTGGATCAACAGCATGCGATTGATATCACACGCAGAAATAACGAGACAGCTGAAGAATATCGACTCCGATTGGATCAACAGCAAGCGATTGAGATCACACGCAGAAGTAATGCGACAGTGGAAGGGAGAACCACTCGCATCAGAAGTGTTAGTCGACGTCGTCAGCAACGTACCATGGAGACTAGAAATGATCCACCTGTAAAGACATGGCCAACGGCTATATCTCAAAAAGTGAAAGAAAATTGTCTCAGTGAATTTAACAAGAGAATGTCGATGAACTGCCTACAGGAACAAGTATGTGTAGTGTGCAATTCACGACACAACGAAAGAACGATGCACAAGATGTTGTTGTCCGATGTCAATGATAGTCTTCTCAAGCCTCATCGTAGTCTTCAAGAAACGATTCCTGAGACTCGATCGGGACGCTTTTCAGACACAGATTTAGACGAAGAAATGGTATTTTTCAATGAACAAGGTGAGTCCCAACATTTTGTATGTTCCTCGAAAAACTTCTATTTTTCAGGATGCCACGAAAGACCGACTCCGAAGAATTCTAGTTATCTTATATCAAATGGGCGGATTTTGTATCGCGAAGGTTTGCTACAACTGAGAAGTCAGTCTGATGCTGACTGTCGAGTATGTCACGAATGCTGGTTGGCTGTATCAAAGGGAAAAATTTCAAAATCTTCACCTGCTAATGGCATATGGATAGGTGATGTACCTGATCAATTGAAAAGACTCACTATTCCAGAGCAGAAGTTGATTTCTCTCTATCGTCACAACAGTTGCATCATCAAACTGCACTCTCCATGGCACTCACCCAATACAGCTCAACCAGCTTTCAAAGGCAACTGCATTACTTTTCCGCAAGATCTTTCAAACATTGCCACCAGTCTTCCTCTATCTCCAAAGGAACTTTCGGCCTCGATCAAAATTATCTTCATTGGCTCCTCTATGCCATCTCGCCATCATCTTCGCAAAATCCTGTCCGTTAGACGACAACGGATTCTCGATGCGCTTCTCTGGCTCAAAGAGAATAATGTACTGTATAGGCACATATCTCTCGACAAGCATATTATCGCTACTCTTCCGGATGATGATGTTCCTGAATCCATTTGGGAAACACTCGATTATATATTAGATGATAAAAATTTCCATGCTGAAAGAGAGGGATATACCGAAGATCCTCTCACTAGTAATCAAGCTACGTGTGAGCAAGCTACATCCGAATTCATACCTATAAATCCAAGTGGTATTCTGGATGTCAATGGTGCATCCGTATCAGCGGAAGATATTAGTAATCAGATGCTTCGAAAACTTCAAATCGATGCAAACAATCAACGTGTCGATTTATCTGAAACCAACACTGTGAGTGCAGTCTTTCTATGTTTTATTTTTTATTATTCTCGATACACTTAGGATGATGATCTTGTCCACATGATCCCAAGAGGAAGCACCCCTACCAATGAATACAACAATCCGACTCTCTTGCTGGGTCTTTATCCTACACTCTTTCCTTATGGAACAGGAGCTTTCGAAGATGCTTCACGACCTGTAAAAATTTCATTCAAAAAACAAGTCCAGTATCTTCTTTCCTATCACGATCGTCGCTTTGAAGAACATCATTCTTTTATATTTATCGTCTTCAATATGTTACAACGACGAGAGGCCTGTCTTCATGCTCGATTAATGACATCAAAACCATTTTTTACCAAAACAGCTGACCAGATCGTCTCGTTGAATGTCGATGACATCAAGCAAGCACTGAGTAATTTTGAGAAGAATAAAATTAATGCATCAAGTGGTGATCCGGAAGTCAATGCACTTTTGAGTCAAGTCAAAGCTGTTGGAGGGAAAGTAATGGGTTCGGCACAGTCTCGATCTGCACTGCGCAACCAAATTCACGGCTTAATTTTTAACCAAGGTTTGCCCAGTATCTTCCTTACCATCAATCCTGCGGATATCAACAGTCGTGTAGCTCTTTACTTTGCTGGAGTTAACCTTGATTTGGACGCAATCATCCCACACAATCTTCCATCTACTTATGAGAGGGCAGAAATCATTGCATCACATCCTGTAGCGACAGCCAAGTTTTTTCATCGACTCATTACAACGGTTCTTCAAACGATGATTGCAGGCGACGGAGTTCTAGGACCTGTCAAGGCATACTTTGGGACAGTAGAGAATCAAGGACGTGGTTCATTGCATCTACACATGCTCATTTGGCTCGACCATAAATACACGCCTGCTCAACTTCGCGAAAAAATCAAAGACGAGCAATTTCGCAATAATCTTAGAGACTATCTTGAGGACATCATTAGCGAAGATTTGGATCATTTGTAACATATATTTGTTCATTTTTAAGAAAATTAAATGAATTTTACTCGTACAAAAGTAGATTTAGTTGAAAATTAGTTGTTACAATGCGTGTTTCCTTTGTAATCATTTTATTATTTGTTTTTTGCCGAATTAACTGATGAAAAAAACATGCAAACAATATGTTTACTCTTTTTCTTCTAGATAGTTCAGACATTATAATGTCACGTACATTGACGATAACCGAAAATGTTGATACTAGTGCAGCAGGTAAGTGTCAACTTTGCTCGATTTATAAGCTAAATATTGTATGTTTAGCAAATATTTCGCTCGACAAGTTATTTGCATCACTACTTCGAACTCCCGATCCATCATGGACGAACTTTCAAGAGAAAAAGAAACAAGACATTAGATTGCTAGTCTGTGAATCGAACGTGCACAAACACACTTCAACTTGTTACAAATACGTTAAGAATTTCGAGAGAAAAACATGTAGGATGCGTATGCCTCGAGAAATATTTCCAATGACCATCATTGATCCTGAATCAGGCGAAATACGAATGCGTCGTTCGCATCCGATGATTAACAACTTCAATCAATCCATCATAAGTGTATGCCGTTGTAATATGGACATCAAATTTATCTGGTCAGGCACAGATGCAAAAGCGCTCGTTTATTATTGTACCGACTACATCACAAAGATAAATCTATCCTTTCATGACACGTTTTCTCTTGTCCAGAAGGCTGTTGGACCGAATGATAACAATAACATAACTGAAAATTCCGTCGACAAAGCTAGAAAGCTCGTTCTACGCTGCTATAACTCACTTGCTTCACAACAAGAACTCTCTGCTGTTCAAGTAGCCACTTACCTGATGGATTATCATGATCATTACACCAGTCATGAATTTGCTAACATATTTCTGGTAGCTATTGAACGCCACCTCCAAAACGAGTTGGAACAACACAAAGCTATCCTTGCTTCGTCTTCCATAATTGCACAAGCAACCAGCACAAATCTGATTGACTTCCTCGAGGATGAAGAAGATAATAATGCTTTTACGATGGAGGAACACTTTTCGATCGAACAATCTACTGACGTAAAAAAGGCAGTTCTCGTCAATCTGCGAATTGACTACCAATTTCGGTCTCCTGCACTGCAGTCAGTCTGTTTATACGAATTTGTCAGTCTCTTTCGTCGTAAGCCATTCACTGATAAGGATCGACGTATTGGAGAGCAGCCGCTCACATGTGCCGAAGGTCTTCAGCAAGGTCCAGGTCGCCCACTTCAAGGAAGATATGCGTTTATGAGCGAACATCCACAAGCAAGCTCTCATGGCATAATTAAGCGCCTTAAACCTGTTGTTCCTGTACTCGTTGGTCCACAGATTCCACGTAAAGACAGGGAGGAAACTCAAGAACGATACAGCCGAGCAATAGCTACTCTCTTCATTCCATGGAGAAACATCAAAGATCTCTGTGACATTAATCAAAGTTGGTGCGAAGCGCTTTCCGCACGGCAAGAAAGTATTTCAACAGAATCAAAACACATCATCGAAAATATTCAGCTCCTGCATGAATGCAAGAAAGATCGTGACGCGCATCTACAACAAATTATTGCAAATGTTCAAGCCATTGACGAAATAGATTCTCGTCTTCTTCCTCGAAACATGTGCATAGACAGTGATGAGGATGATGAAGATCTGGACCAAACTGAGACAAATCTGAACTTCCTCGACATTCTATCAGATACAAATCAAACATCTGTCATGAGTCATCTTTCTGAAAAAGAGCAGCTTTATCAAAATGAAGCACTTCGCTATCTACATGAGGTTGGTCGATTTTCGAATTGTACCAGTGAGTTTCTTTTCTTGATAATGGTAACTGAATATGTGAAAATGTTTTTCTGATTAGAACGCGACCAACCCGTCGTGGCTTCCACTTCTCTGTCACATTTTTTTGTCAAAACTCGGCACTCAGAGGAGCAAAATGCTGCATGGCAAGCCACCATAAAACGTGATGTTCTTCGTAAACGACAGCAGAGTATCTTAGAGGATGTTCCTTCGTTACTCAATGATGCCTCTAATAAAGTGATCTCAACTACTGCCATAAACTACATGACAAAAGGCGCAACACGAGTTAGCAATCAAACTCAGCCTGTTATAATGACCGTATCAACGGTTCCAACTCGCCGCCAAGTGTGTGAGAGGTTTACACTCAATGAAGAACAAGCACGAGCTTTTTACATCGTTTGTGGACACGCTGATGGAGAAAGTCATTTGAAGACAGGTAAGAAAAATGTCATATTTTCTCAGTTCCTATTAAAGTTTTGCTGTTTTAGGTGAGAAACAACAACAGTTGATTATGTGCGTACCAGGACCTGGAGGCACAGGCAAATCTCGTCTCATCGATGCAATCACGTGCTATTTCGTTGAAACACAGCGGAAAGAGAAACTTCGGAAGCTTGGGCCCACAGCCGTGTCTGCCTCGCTAATTGGCGGTCACACGATACACTCTTTCTTAGTATACCTACGCAGTACCAAACGCCAAAAAAAGACAACTAAACCAGGCTCATCGAACATTGAAAACGATTGGAGATATGTAGAATATCTGATTATCGATGAGATTTCGATGGTTGGGCTTCGATTATTAGCGCGATTAAACGAAGTACTCACTCTCGGAAAACGGGCACCACCGGAAGTTCCTTTTGGTGGTATAAATGTTATTCTTCTCGGCGATTATATACAATATATGCCTATTCTCGACAGACCTCTGTATACAAATCTCGAGCGTGGCTCTTCTACTCGTTTACCAACAGAAGCTGATGTCCAGTATGGAGTGGGACGCTCATTAGTTCTACAAATCAACACAGTCACGAAGTTGACGCAGCAAATGAGAACTGAAGATCAAAAATACTTGACTCTGCTCAACAATATTCGTTTAGGAGAAACGACACGCGCTGATTTCGACTATCTCTGTACACGAATTATCGGCCGTGGACAAATTGTTCAGTCACTGAAAGATAAACCCTGGTGTGATGCACCTATTCTCGTCTTTCGTAATCAGCTACGAACCGAAATAAACAATCGAGCCGCCCTCGACAGAGCAAAAGAAGCCGGTGTCGCACTAGTTGTCGTCGTAGCAAATGATAAAATTCGTTCAAAAAGTTTACAAGATGATGCGATATACGAACGTCTCCTCCATCTACCTGACAACAAGACCGAGCTTCTTCCCGGTCTCCTACCTTTAGTACCAAACATGCCTGTGCTTCTTACAGATAACATCGCCTGTGAACTAGGGCTCTCGAACGGCACTCAAGGAATTTTTCGAGAGCTCATATACGATGGCCAGGAAAATCTGGATGGTTTGATGGTGAAGAGCGACGTATTTCCCTCAGATACGATCTACATACGAAAACCCTTATACGCGCTTGTAGAAATTAATACATCACAATTAGAAACAACTCTCGATGGTCTCCGTCCTAAACTAATCCCTATTCCACTGATCAAAAAACAATTTACTGTTCCTACCAAACAACTCTTCGGTAGACTATTCGAAAGTGCACAAAGTGGAAAAATAGTTCCACAAGTGATTCAAGTTACAAGAACGCAATTGCCGATTGTACCTGCCTTCGCAATAACTACTTATAAGGCCCAAGGACTCACTATGAACAAAATCGTGGTCGATCTTCGAGTTCCGCTTAGAACATTACAAGTGGCATCAGTATATGTGCCACTCAGTAGAGTAAAGAAAGCGGAAGATGTAGTTATTCTTCGACCTTTCGACATGAAGGCTCTACAAGTTCGACCCTCTCCTACTCAAGATGCTGAATTGAAACGTCTAGATGAGCTTGACAGAAAGACAAGACGAGAATATACTTCTTTCACTTTTTGAACGCATGCAAATAAATACTTTGGTAAGAGTCCAGTATTACTGCGAGTATATGAAACGTATCATAAGTTGAAATTATCTGAAAATAATTTTTCTTATATGTTCATTTTCTTTATTTCTTTATTTACATTATGTTAATCATTATAGTTGTGTCTCCTTTCGTTGCATCAGATATTTCCTATCTTGTGTTTTCTTGATCTCTTTTCTTATTGTCTGTCTTATTTGACGTAATGACTCATCTACTTTCCCAATCGTAGTGTTACTTATTTGCAATATCTAACCTTGTATCTGACGTTCGGTTTAAACACCTGTTCCTTTTTATATGGTAGTATCTAATTTATGTTAGAAATAAACTTATATACACAATAACTTACTAAAAATCTAATACCTAAAAGAAATTCTTCTACGAGAAAGAGCATAGCGAGTCTGTAGACGAGCGTTACTTGTTATTTAATAGAGATTCTAATTAATATTATTATTATTATAGTCAAGGAGAAAAGAAGCAAAACAAAAGAGAAAGTGAAGATTTTTGAATGATAGTAATAAGATATCTACAAAATTAGATACTATTTGTTGAAGTTAAATTACTTATAAACAATAACATGAGATAATATATATTATGCATCAGATTTATTTGTTTTTCATACAAAACATAATTTATTATTATTATTATTATTATTTAAATAAAAAATATTCAATAGAAACTTCAAGACATCAAATTTCGACAGTTTTTTTCACTTTTTTTTAATGCCAACTGAGATTTTTCTTTGTAATCTTTGATTTGTTCGTTAACAATCAAAAAAATTCATTTTTGTCTAAATTAAATTAAGATTTTCTTTATTTTAAATGAAATAATTTATCAAATCTATATATAACGGGTGGCCCATAAATAATTATACTGTTAGGATATTCGAAATTTCTACTTTATTATCGGTTTGACTGAAATATTTCTTCAAAATCAAAAGATAGCACTTGAAATTCTTTACAAAACCATATACCCACGGAAAAAAATTTTCAAAAAGACCGCGGCAAGCAGCGGTATTGAAAACCGCGGTTTTGGCCGGTATTTTCAGATGCCGGGAGTCAGACCATTTATTCATCTCTCTGAAACCGCTCGAAACCGCGGTTTTTGACACCGCGGTTTTGAGCGGTTTCAAAGAAACGCATAAACGGTCTGACTACCGTTATAATAAAAAACCGCTAAAAACCGCGGTTTTCCAGACCGCGATTTCGAGCGGTTTCAAGGAAACGCATAGATGGTCTGACTACCGTTATAATAAAAAACCGCTAAATACCGCGGTTTTCCAGACCGCGGTTTCGAGCGGCTTCAAGGAAACACATAAATGGTCTGACTACCGTTATATTAAAAAAACGCTCGAAACCGCGGTCTAAAAAACCGCGGTTTTGCGCGGTTCTTCCCGACACACTAGAGTGAACCGACTCTAGCATGTCAACCATTACCTGAAGCTTTCAGGCATGGTGCCCTTCGAGGGGCAGTGAGGTGAACTCTCCCGAGCTTCATTTCCACAAAGTACCTTTGTAGAGTCAGATGAATGTTCTGCGTCATGATCGAAAAATTTCGCAGAAAAAGTGGAGCACGATATCTTCACTGTCCTTACACATTACTTTACACTTCGATATGCACGACGGTTTTTCACAGCAACACCGCGGTTTTCTGAATCGCGGCTCTGTAAGTGACGAACGCGGTTTTTAATACCGCGTTTGCCAGCAGTGTAGCACAACACGGTGTGGATACGCAAGACCGCACTTTCTGAAACCGTTACTAACCGCGATATAGAACACTGAGATTTCGCCACAGGAAATTGCAGTCCTTCTAGTTACACCGTGGCGGGTTGAAAGAACTGCAACAAAGTTTACTTTAAAATTTTCGTGACTTCCTTTTAAAATACAATGAATCTTCTACCATTTGAATTCTGAGGAAACAGTCTGCATTAACAATTATTCGTTTTTATTAATTTATCGAATAACTCATACTTTTTTTTGTGACTCTACTTCAATCCCTCTTCAACAGAAACAGATTAAGAACCGAATAAAAGCTGTAGCATTTTTTATCAGTCGATTTATGAAATTTCTACCACGATAATTTGCAGATGAATTGAAAATCGTTCCATTGTGCTAGATTAATCATCTTTTGGTATATCAGCTTCACATAAAATGATAGAGAACAGATGCATTTCAAATTCATAGAGATTTCTTTTAAATAAAATAAAAAGTGACCGCGTTTAAAATAGAGACTACCGCGGTTAACAAAACCGGTGAGAACCGTTATATGTGAAACTGCGTTTATGATATAGTAAATCGCGGTTTAGGAAACCGGTGACAACCGCTACATTGGAAACCACGGTTATGATGCAGCAAACCGTGGTTTATAAAACCGGTGATAACCGCTACATTTGAAACCGCGGTTATGATACGGTAAATCGCGGTTTTTGAAACCGGTGATAACCGCTACATTTGAAACCGCGGTTATGATGCAGTAAATCGCGGATTATGAAACCGGCGATAACCACTACATTGGAAACCGCGGTTATGATGCAGCAAACCGTGGTTTATAAAACCGGTGATAACCGCTACATTTGAAACCGCGGTTATGATGCAGTAAACCGTGGTTTATAAAACTGGTGGTAACCGCTATATTTGAAACCGCGGTTATGATACAGTAAATCGCGGTTTATGAAACCGGTGGTAACAGCTACATTTGAGACCGCGGTTATGATACAGTAAATCACGGTTTATGAGACCGGTGATAACCGCTACATTGGAAACCGCGGTTGTGATACAGGAAATCGCGGTTTATGAAACCGGTGATAACCACTACATTTGAAACCGCGGTTATGATACAGGAAATCGCGGTTTATGAAACCGGTGGTAACAGCTACATTTGAGACCGCGGTTATGATGCAGTAAATCGCGGTTTATGAGACCGGTGATAACCGCTACATTGGAAACCGCGGTTATGATGTAGCAAACCGTGGTTTATAAAAGCGGTGATAACCGCTATATTTGAAACCGCGGTTATGAATGCACACACCGCGGTTTCTTGTGAATATGGTGCAAAAAAACCGCTGTAAACCGCGGTTTTCAGCGATTATCGAATCGGCACCGCGGTGGAGTGCGATGAAAACGCGGTTTTTGTATAAAACTTTTTCCGTGGGTATAACTAGACCATAAAACTGTTTTAGATATATATGGAAAAAATGGAAAATTAAGACATACAAAAATCAGTAAAAAGTAATGGGATGGATATAATCAATAGCTAGACTTTGTATCCTATTTTTTCATCACTTACTTGATCCCATTAGAATACCTAGATATATCAAAAAATGTAACGTGAAATACTCTACGATTTAAATAAGATTGCCTATATTATAGTGGCCATTTTTCTTTTCAAAATTATCAAAATGTTTGAACAATTAAATTTCGACCGTGTAAAAATGGTATAGTTTTTAATAGAAGATGACTTTGGTTTTCTCATTTCTTCTTTTGATAATTTATTCCTTGTAAACTGTAAAGTTTTTCACGGTGTATTTTTTGATATATTTTGGTGTTCTAATGGACGAGTTACAAGAACATTAGGTGCAAAGTGCGATTACTGCACTAGTCGACGATCTTGACTTTGATCAGTCCAGATTCTTGTAGACCGATTCTTGTCTGGCGAGGCAAGAATTACATCGTCAGGCAAGATTCTTTGCTCTTTCTTGCTGAAGAACCTTGACTGATCTCACAAGAATTCTGAATATCTTGTGTTTCTTGCTACGTTCTTTATTTTCTTGGAGATCAGACAAGGTTCTTTCTTCTTTCCTTTGACAAGAATCTAGTCTGATGTTTAAGAATATATTCTTGGAAGTCAGACCAGATTCTTGTGGAAGGAAGAAGGAAGAAACTTGTCTGATCTCCAAGAAAATAAAGAACGTAGCAAGAAACACAAGATATTCAGAATTCTTGTGAGTTCAGTCAAGGTTCTTGGGCAAGAAAGAGAAAAGAATCTTGCCTGACGATATAATTCTTGCCTCGCCAGACAAGAATCGGTCTACAAGAATCTGGACAGATCGAAGTCAAGATCGTCGATTAGTGTGATTACATCCAATCCTTTACTTTTTACTGATTTTGGTATGTCTTAATTTTTCATCTTTTTCCACATATATCTAAAACAGTTTTATGATCTAGTTGTATATGGCATTGTAAAGAATTTCAAGCACTATCTTTTGATTTAAAAGATACTGTAGTCAAATGGATAATTGAGTAGAAATTTCGAAAATTCTAATAGCCTAATTATCTCTGGGTCACCCGTTATTTATTTTCTTCAATACATTAATTAACTGTTAAACTATAAATTAAATTACTTCATTCTATTAGAAACAATAAAAGGAGAATTAATTTTATAGTTATACAATTTTTCAATAAATAGAAAAGGCTTTAACCATATTAACATAATAGATAAAAAGTCTTATTTTAATCAAGAATAAATTGATATATCTATAATAATATTCTAATTCGATTTCGAGAAAAATCAGTTTAATTTTTGTTAAGATTTTAAAGATCTTTCGTATATTATAGAATAAAAGAGAAGAGAAAAATTTTAAAAAAACAAAAAAGTTATTTCTATAAAATGAAATATTTAAAATGAATATTTTCATAATCGAATATTATTTTCACTAATTTTTATCTTAATATTGAATATTAACTTAATTGAATCATTGTTAATAATGTTTATTTATAAAATCAAAATTGATTCGAATAAAACAAAAATAAGTTCGATCGAATTGAAGAATAGATTTTCTATAAATATTTCAAATAAATTAAAATCTTCTTAAATATTTGTGTAAATCTTAACATTTTATTTACGAATTTTAAATAAATATATAAATTAGATGTTAAATAACATAATCAACAAATTTATTTGAATGAAAAAAAAAAGAAACTCGAAGTGATTGTTTCATATTGAAGTTGTTTTTCTTTTGCCATTTCAATCTTGATTTATA